TTTGCTGAGGAAGACTGGCCCTGGGCTAACATCCGTGCCCATCTTCCTCCACTTTATATGGGACGCCGCCACAGCATGGCTCGACAAGCAGTGCAGCGGTGCGCACCCGGGATCCGAACCTTCAAACCCCGGGCTACCGTAGCAGAATGAGCGCATTTAACCGCTTGCGCCACTGGGCCTGCCCCTTATTTTATATTTTTAATAACACAGAAAATAAGCAGCCCATAACAGAGTGGGTAGTTCATGCCTATCTGGCTGCAAAGTTTATATCCAACTTTATTCTTATGAAATCAAATTCCATTTCTCTCTTTGGTTCAGAAAACTTTTGTGACCACAGCCCTTGATTAACACAAAGAAACCCAAGGGAAACTTAAGACAGCAAAGTCCAAATTGCCATATGGCATTACCATCCTGGGGAAAATCCATCTTAGCATTTCATTTCTGCCAGAAGTAGATTAGGCAGATAAAATTTTCAAAATAGAACACAATCAGTTAATTAAAGTGAGAAAAGAATTTTATTTGTTTTATGCTAGAGTGGATTGAAGACAGCTTACAAGTGGCATCAGGCCAAGAGGTGTTATTTCCTGGACGGGGGCTTTTCAAACAGGGCTCCCAGGGGAAGGGGAGGTGCTGAGCAGACAGGGCTTTGCCATCTCAACTTGAACCAAAGCAGCTCTGCTTTGTTCTGTCACACACTGAATTTTTCCATGAGACTTTCTGTGAAGAAAGAGTGTTCTAGAACTAAAAAGTTTCAAGGCAGACTGCCAAGTTTCATGGCCTGACTCTGCCACCCCGTAGCTGTGTGATCTTGGTCAAGTTCCTTAACCTCTCTGTGCCTCAGTTTCCTTATCAGTGAAATTCATATAATATTAAGATTAAATATTAATATAATATAAATAATAAATAACACGGGTTTTTTTGTGAGTTAACATTTGTCAAGCACTTCTAACAGTTATATTATAGACATAATAAACGATTTGTACACGTTTGTCAAATGAGTAAATAAAATATGAAACCATTATCCCCAATTACTATTGACAAGCAGTCTGAGTGGTAGAGAAGAACCAAGTAATATTTTAAACAGTCTGCAGATTGAGTTGGGCTATAAAGAAAACTCTGCTTTGGGGGATGTTAAGACTAGCAAATCTATGGTATTGGTTCTTTCTTGATAATACATCAATAATTCATCAACATGCCCAACTGAAGATGCTAACATCTAATGAATAGATACAATTTACAAAGCAATTCACATGTTATTATGAATTGTAATCCATGTGATAAACTAACACATCACTGGGCACCCGGAATAATGTAACTAAACCTACCACTCTGTTTAATGACATAAGAATGGCTTAACCATTATACAGTAAACACATGTAAGGCACTGTTATGGGTTGCATTCCTCCTCCCCACATTCATATGTTGAAATCCTAACCCCAGTACCCCAGAATGTAACCTTATTTGGAAATAGGGTCTTTGCAGATGTAATTAGTTAAAATGAAGTCATACCGGAGTAGGGCAGACCCCTAATCCAATACGACTGGTTTCTTTATAAAAAGGAAATTTGGACACAGATGCACACAGGAAAAATGCATGTAAGGTTGAAGACAGAGACTAGGATGATGCTTCTATAAGCCAAGGAACGCCAAAGATTGCCAACAAACCACCAGAAACTGGAGTAGAAGCATAGAACAGATTCTCTCTTATAGCCCTCAGGGGCAACGAACCCTGCTGACACCTTGATCTTGGACTTCTAGCCTCCAGAACCGTAGGACAAGAAATTTCTACGTTTAAGCCACCTAGTTTGTCGTACTTTGTTATAGCAGCCCTAGGAAACTCATACAGGCACTGTTTATACTCTAGAGATCATAACAAAGGTGTTTCCTTTCTTGACTTAACCCTTGACTCAGTCACTTATATAGTAAATATTTACTGGATACAGCTGTGTTAGGAGCTGTGGCCACAGAGGAGAGCCAGAGACCCTGCTTTCAGAGACTTTCAGTGCAGAGGGGAGACAACCATCAATTAAAACAAGATACATATATGGGGAACATAATGAGACATAGTGACAAGTGCCATGAAGAAAAGCAGAGCAGGGAACAGGATAAAAGGGGGTGCTGTTTTGGATGAATGGTGAGGGAAGGCCAATCTGAGGCATTTGAACAACAGACTTGAATGAAAGGAGGTACTATGTGGGAGAAGAGGGTTCCAGGCAAAGGGGAGAGCAGGAGCAGCGGCTGGAGTTGGCTTAAAATAGTGTTCTAATCTAAGAACAACAAGGTATGCAGTGTAGTCTACCATTTTCTTTTAATGCAGTAGGGCTATTTTTTCTTTTTTTTTTTTAGTAGACTGAAACTTGTTGAGACTTTCAACTAACCTAAGGGGTTGTGTCCCTAGTCACATTGAAACAAGTCTAGCCCTGGCTGGCACGGCTCCCTCAGTGTTGAAGGAAAGGCAGAGTACAGCAAAGTCTGTGAAGCTGCCAGGCGCCACAAGGCACATGCAACTGACTGCCCGAGAAGGGGCTGTCAAGTTCTGTTGACTGCACAGCAGTATTCTCAACTCACTTCTCTGGGTGCTGATTGAAAAGCATCGTGGATGCGTGGCATGTTTTGGCTGTCCAGCCCTTGAATCTCCTTCCCCGATAGGTGGAATCACCATCTGTATGTCTTTGTGGGAAAAGTCCCTTACTTGTTCTTCCTCACTCCCTGGGCTGGCGCACAGGTACAACACCCAGACGCAGCAAACTGAGTGCTCCCACCTGGAAACCCAGTAAGAGACTGGCCCTCGAGCTTGTTGAAGCTAGAGGAGGTGAAAACCCCATTATTATTCTGGGAACGGACGGAGTCTGGCATAGATGGTGCTTTGTGTCCAGTGGCAAGAATGCCAGCGGTGGTGTCCAGTGACCAGTGGCAATGCCAGAAGGACCCTATCCTGCTCTTGCTGCAGCCTGATCTTTGCTGAGGTCCCAGCACACTGGATTCTCCCATTTCCAAACCTAGCTTTCCCATCAATTCTGGAAGCTTATCCATATCCTTCCAGTAAATTCCTTTTCTACTGAAGTTAGCCAGAATCAAGTACTCTGGTTTGCAACCACAAGCCCTGACTGGTTTCAGCCCAGTTTCTGAGTTTTCAGTTTCTCAGTTCTGAGCTACCAATATTGAATACTGTTTTATCATTCTTGATCACTGTTATATAGAGCTTAGATATTAGAAACTGAAAAGGTAAGTTACACCAAAAGTGTTGCGAGGATAATTAGGTCATATAAGCGAAAGAAGCTAACATAGCTCCAAACCCTTGAAGACACCGACAGTGTCCTGAATATTAAGCAGCACACCTGTGCTGCAGCTACATTACACAGCACAAGGGTGACATCCAGTGTCAGCCGGCCAAATCTCAGGTGACTGTGCAGTTCACCTGAAATGATGCACAGTATATCAAACGACACGCCTGTTAACACTGAACCCAAGTAATAATAA